TCCCCCCTGTTTATATAATTTTTATATAATCTCCCCCTATAATTTCTAAGGTGATGAGTAAATCCTCTTGGTCCGTGTTTATGATTTAATGATTCTGCTAAAGAGGTCTGATAACAACTTGAAGGAAAAAGGCAATTGATGTTATTCATAATTAGTAATTAATTTTTCTTTTTTTCTTTGTAGGATAATGTCCCGATCTTGCTATCCAGTTTTGAAGGATATTTATTTTGGTAAGTTTTTCTTTGTCATTGTATTAGTCTAAAAGTGAATATTTTACTGATTATTGTATTAGATCCCTGATTTTAAAATTCTTAGTATTTTTTCTATATATCCAGTCTTTTCTCAAATATAAAATTTGGTAAAGTAGCCTACATGTACTTGAGATTCCTTCTTATTTCATTTTTTTGAATATAGTGATATCTTTTAAAGGACGCTAGATCAAAATCCAGGCTACTTATCGTTGGAGATTAGCTCCTTAGCTGGTCTTCAGGTTTATGCCGGAACATTTGATCATGCACATTCATAGCTAGTCATAGACTCTGAATTTCATGTTAAATAATGGCTTATTTCACTCTTTTTCAGGCTTTTGGTTGCCAGGCTGATATTGGTCAGTGAATATGAATATGGCTTTGAAGGTAAATATTGCTTTTGTGCTAGATATACTTCTAAATTATTAGTGTTTAGATTGTGACACATTATGTACAGGATGAAAACCTTTTTATTCAGAGCATTGGGTTATGAAAACCATGATTACTTTTTGACACCTGAAATATTCTTTTTTAGTAATTATCTCTTGGAATTTGGCAAAATTTTAAGCATTTTGAATTTTTTCAGATGGGACAAAAGGAAATGTGCAAGCAGGATTGGCATATCTTTAAAATAAAAGGTATGATCTTGTTGATATGGAAACGGATTATATTAATAACTTGCTACATACAAAAATCAAGATTGATTTAATAAATGTAATTCTTTCAAGGTGAATTTGTGAAGCTGCATTTATGATGAGTAAATCCTCTTGGTCCGTGTTTATGATATCTGTGATTCTGTTAAGAGGTCTGACTGTTGTCAAAAGCTATTAAGATTGCAAAGTTTTATGCATGTATTCTAATAAAATTTTATCTTGCAGGAAGCTTGTGAGGTTTCAAGGCTACCAACATGATCTGCTTGAAAGATGTCCAGGGCTTGTGGTCATATTGGTAAGTTGCCACTAATGGCTATATTTTGGTCCTTTTCTAAAGTGATGAGTAAATCCTCTTGGTCCGTGTTTATGATCTAAATGATTCTGTTAAGAGGTCTGAAATTTAAGAAATGTATGCTCTATATTTTGCTGATAATTGATTATTAATGAATTGCCTTATCTTTCACAGAAGCACACGGCTTGTCAGGATGTGAAGTTTTAGATTTGCCTTTGGTAAGTTTGCCAAAACTAATATACAAAGTCTTCTTGAATAGTCTTGAAGTTCATAATTTTACTGTGCTTAAAGCCATTTAATATTGTATACACTAAAGTTGCCATATTGTGAATTGTGAAATTAAGTAATGTATACTTCGTGACAAAGCTAAGTATACATATTTAAATTTGTATATAGAAGCAGCTACATGTTTTTTGGCGTTCTGTATCTCCAAGTTAACATCCTTGTTTCTTTGGTCGTAAGGACGCTAGATCAAAATCCAGGCTACTTATCGTTGGAGATTAGTTCCTTGGCTGGTCTTCAGGTTTATGCCGGAACACTTTGATCAAGCATCTTCTTGCCAGTCTTGACATTGAATTGCACATTAAAAGAACTTGGAATAATTTATTTTTCCAGGTATTTGGAGAGCACTGTCTGATGGTATTGACCAGTGACCATGACCTTAAGTTAAGGTAAGACCTCGTTTTTGTATTGGATATAAACTTGGATTTCCATGAGAATGTAGATTATGGCACATTGTATACAGGATGAAAACCTTTTTTCAGAGCATTGGGTTATGAAAACCATGATTAGGTTTTGACATCTGAAATCCTTGTTGTAGAAATTATCTCTGTGAATCTGGCTTAAGTCTAAATGTGTTGCTTGTTCTTCTTTCAGATGGATTGAAAGAAAAAAGCAGGCAGAGCTGGCATCACTCAACCTTTTAAAAAAGTGGTTCCAGGTAGGATTTTTTCTTTTCTTTCTACCCCAAAAATTTTCACATGATGAAAACCCTTTTTTCAGAGCATTGGGTTATGATAACCATGATTACTATTTTGACACCTGAAAACATGAAATAGAAATAAATTGCAACATCTAGGAAAATTTCTAATGTTCAATTTTTTTTTTCTTCAGGATGACCCAGAAGTAACTTGAGTTACCACCAGAGATTGCAAATAAACATTGATCTGACTATGAATTTATCTCGTCCTTTTTACATGTATAGGAAATTTGTAAGGATCATTACTTCGGAAAGATCCTAAATGTTCTTCAAGAGGAAAAAACCTCTTGGAATTACTTTAAAATGGAACTAAGATAACCACAGAGGTGTTGGTGTAATATTTAATGCTCTGATTTTGTCAAAAAATGTAATGGAATTTTACTTGTATGTTGCTGTCGGGGTTAAGTCACTGCACTTGTCATTAAAAGAAATTTTGCCATGTTGGGTTAATCCTAAAGGAAAGTTGGTGCAACCAACTTTACTGAAAAGGCCGAGGCCATCCGCACCAGTCAAGCTTGGCCGAAATCTTGCTGGGTCTCAATGGATGTTGGAGAGCAGTGTTCACAGGCTTTACCGGCAGTAAAGGTCGGCATTTGGCTCGATGCAGCTTACCTAGAAAACGGGAATGGCAGCTGACTTGTTAAATAACTTAGTGCTCCAATCAAAAAGGGCATTTAGAGGTGGGTTAAAGTTGATTCCCAGCCATTCGAGAGCTTTAGACACCAGGCCAAAGTTACTGAAGCAAAGGTTCAGTCATGTGGGGAAGGATGTCAAGCGGACTGAGGGCAACAAGACTTGATAATGCCAAACTTGAAGTTCTTCAAATAGGGAAGGGGAGAAAGTTTAGTTCAAAAGCTGACTTCTTAGACCGTACTGTTTGATGAATGTACCCTTCATCAAACTGTACTGTCTAAAAATGACTCCGGCTAAGAAAAGTCCGCTTGACTTTTTTCGTCCGTGTAAAGGGGCAGATCAAATCGGAATCAATGCACCGCAACGCCTTGCTTGTCGTGGGCAAGCTTTTCCTTCACTTTATCCCCTTCTGTCCACTTATCCTAATCGTACCCCCCCAATCCCTTGCCCGTTGTTGTCGTGGGGGGGCTTATTAGGCGGAGACTGGGACCCAATGATGGGGAACTCCCCAACCTTGGGACTCAGCCCTCGACTCGACTAATTATGCATGGTCTTTTTTTCTCTTCCCACTTTTGTTTCTGTCCCTTCACCAAACCCTTCTTCTATCCACCTCCTAAGGTGTGAGAGCCGTGCTGAAAGGATGAAAGGCTGACTTTGTGCCAGTCCTGAACGGCCTGAGGGAGCCATGGGCACGGTATTCCCCTGATTTAGTTATCTAGCCCTTACCCCTCAAGGGGACCCTGAGGGGTGGACTGCTTTTATCCCCAACATAATCCAGGCTTCCCATGGCCAGTAATGAAAATATACCCCCACTGTTAGGGGCAATGAGGCTTGCCCCTTTATCAAATAGCCCCAACGAAGTAAACCCACCCGATTCCCCGACCCCAGGCTCTCCTTTGACCACGGCTCCGAACACTGCAATAACTACCCCTTCACCAATGCCTACTAGTACAGTAGCCAACAATCAACCCTCAAGGAACATTTCCACTCTCCCAGCATGCCCAACTTCAACACCTCTACCCCCACAACCTCCAACATCAACCACCCCATCCTCCCTTATTAATACCTTACAGCCTTATAGCCCACCTCTCCATAACACTACCTCCATCAACACTACTCCATCTTCGTCACGCCCTCGCCCTTCTACCACCCCTATCTCTAAAACAATCTTGAATACTCTCTTCAGTGCAGCCAAATGGGACCGATTTTTCGTGATCCCTCCCACAGCCCCCTACTCTGACAACACCCTTCTCTTCCAACAATGCCTCCAAAAACAAGTAGGTAAAGTCTCTTTCCGTAGCCGACCCGACCGCTCCCGTCTTGTAACAGTAACATCCGAAAACCAAGCCATAGCATTAACAAAACTGACCTATATGGTAACCCCATCCAACCCTCAATACTTGCACCGGAACAGTCTCAATCTCACCAACAAATTGCCCAATCTATGACAAAGATTGGTCAGATTGTGGAGAAGATCTACTTGCCTGTCTCACAGACTACGATGCAACATCAGTACAATGCTATTCCATCCCCCCCAGAGGTCATCGAAAGAAACCCACTAACATAGCCAAAATTACCTTCCGTAGACATGACCTTCCCTTTAACGTCTACATAGGAGGAGAATCCCTCCCTGTTCGTCCATACCAACCTCCTCCACGTCAGTGCCAAAATTGTTGGCGTCTAGGACACCCAGCCAAACACTGCCGTTCCACAGCCAGATGCCCATTATGTGCCCAACCTGGCCATACCCGATCTAACTGCTCTGCACAATCACGCACATGTGCCAACTGTGGCGGCCCCCATAATGTATTTTATAGGGGCTGTCCCACCTACAAATTTGAATCTGAGGTAGCAACTCTCAAATTCAAACTTGGACTCACACTGCGTGAAGCCAGACAGGAAGCACGTCGACGTGGATTCTCTTACTCCTTACTCCAGTAATACTGCTCATTCTAACACTTCTCCTAAACCCACCCCTCCTACATCTAACCCCCCCACTAACCCCACCTACCTTCCCCAGTCAAACTCTTTTGCTATCCTAAATCCAGAAACTCCAATCTCTACTACAGATACTCCAGTCACCACTACAACCCCAACACCTTCCCCTCTCCCTCCTCGCACTCCCCGTAACAGACAGAACAAACGTTCCACCCCTTCTTCCCCTACCACACAATCACCCCCACCATCCTTTGCCCGTACTCTTGAGACACCAGTCCTCTCTTCCCCCCCTCACAAGAAATCCTTTATCCCCCAAAACTCCCCAACCAACTCCACAGAAGAAACTATTGAAAATATTCAAGATTACTTAATGAAAACCGACACTCAACCTACAACTCCTGCTCCTTCCACACTCCAAGTAATTGCTGATATCCATCCTCCTCCTAACGATATCCCCCCTACACCCTACCCTCCTACCCCCTCCCAACACAGCCCATCCCCCCTGACCCCAACCCTGCCCACATTAACTCTCCCACCATCCCCTCTATCCCTTCCACTCCCTACTGGATACACACGTGAATCCCTTATGTCACAAGTATCCCCTTCCTCAGACCCTCCATCTCCTAATACCCCTCCTGATAGAACACCAACTCCCACACCTCTCCCATCTCAAACCTCTCAGTCCTTATCCCACCCTCTAGCTGCTTCCCCTTCAAATTCTCCAACACGTACTACAATCTATATCACTAAATCAACGAAAGTATAACTATCCTTCATTGGAATATTCGCGGTTTCCGCTCCCACAGACCTGACCATCATATCCTTTCCTCTTATAACCCATCTATTGTATGCCTTCAAGAAACCTTTCTTATGCATACCCTTTATCTAATATAACACCCGACCTTAACCCTTTCACTCACTAATTCCTTTGCCCAGCTTAGACAACTAATCACTAACTCAACCACCCTTCACTAACATTAACTATAGTGCTACATGACCTTAGATGTCTAGCACATTTATCTTGCTTTTAACCATTAACCATTAACCATTATCCTAATCGTTAACTCCGGTTTACCCCTTTGTCATGTTACTGTAAGACTGGCATACGTTTTATTTTGATTGACAATTCTACAAGTCCACAAATATCAGCTTATGAACCCAAACAATTCTTACCCGGGGGCTTCGCCTCACCCTATCGTTATATTTTGAATACGCCGCTGATTACCTTAGATGTTGATACGGCAGGAAATTTTCATTAAATAAACTTGGAGTGGATGATTGAATTGTGTGCACATCCCACTGAATCGGTTTCTTGTATAGTAAAATGGAAAAAATGTCAGCAGAGCGATGACTCCTGTCCAAGAAGGGGAACTTACAAACGAATAAAGTGAGACCAGCTTTTTAAGGAAATCCGGAAAGAGGGTAGGTTCACGTGGAGAGTATGAAGAGGTCAAATCGAAAGGAGATGTAGCAAGGAACAAATTAGCTATGATTTTAAGAGCCATGGGCAACACCGAAGGTCTGGTAACGGAAACGTTCTTCGAAGTAGGTTCGCAAAGTGGGCTGTACTGCTTCCTTTGGGGCGGTGGAAGGATCGGGGGCGCTAAATAAATTAGTTTACTATATAAGAATTTATTTGAAATATATCACGATTAACATTGTTAAAAAAAAAAAAAAAAATGGGAACCATTGCCTTCGACCAGTGGTTCCAACCTTTCCCAAGCTAGCGCTCCCTTGGCCTTCACTTGGATTCCTGGCGGTCTTCTCCCCTCATACACATATGCGAACACTCTTTTTGATATGCTTCGTATTGAAATAGATCAAATACAAAGACGCATTTCACAAATTAAACCCAATTTAGTATACTAATTTAATCAGTTTTATCTGCCGACCACTACCGCAGCCCCAGATCTTTCCACCGCCCCCTAGGGAGCGGTAACGTCCACATTGGAAACATTGCCTTAAACACGTTGATGGGCAAAGGGAGACAGAACTTCTCAGGGAGCGAATTTCCTCTGATGGTAAGCGTGGACGTCATCTAAATGTAAGTGAACTGGGAGTCAGCATCAAATCTCATTATGGTCACGAGACGAGACACCGCTAACTCGGTCGATGAAGTTCCGAGACTGATGGAGGTCAGCGGGAGAGTAAGTGCTCGGAAAAAAAGTTGGGGTATGCGTTAACCAGGAAGCAAGATGGTCGGTCCCAGATTCCCAGGAGAGGACAATGGGGCGCATAGGCACGTCTGCCACAGCATACTGACCACGGATAACCCATAGAAACGTGAATGGGAGAGTTGATAACCCTGAACCATTTCAGAGGTTCGCCCCAGGGAAACACGATGCTGTTTCAGGAAAGTGGTCGCCATGATCAGCAGTTCCTGGGCTTTCTGCAGGTAATAAGCACAGTCAGGGACCATCACCAGGTTGCTGGTGTCGGAGAGCAAAATAGTGCCATACCCTTTCCTGCCTGTGCAGAAATGGGATTTTTTCGGTCATCACATTTTTTTTTTTTTTTTTTTTTTTTTTTAGAGCCACCGTATCATAATTCTATTTCAAAACCTTATTTAGTATACACCGAAGAAATACATCAGCTGATTGATGGCCTACCCTATTAAGAA